TTAAAGTTGGTAAAAATTATCTTGCGTACATCCGCTCGATAAAACAAAATGGCCAGTTCTAAAAACTTTCAGTGTCCCCTCGTAATCGCCTGTCTTGTCGAAGTAAAATCAAAGTCAAAGTAAAAAAAAAAGTAAAAATTTAGAAGTCTCACAGATGTTGAGACAGCTAGGTTAGTGTATTTTAGTTACTTTCATAGCGTAATGTCTTATGGAATTTTGCTATGGGGTAATGCGACTGATATTGAAGCTATATTTGTTTTGCAAAAGAGAGCCGTACGGGCGATTTATAATCTAAATTGTAAAGAGTCCCTCAGAGAAAAATTTAAAGAAATAAACATATTAACTTTGGCATCGCAATATATTTATGAAAATGTAATGTATGTACATAAAAACATAAATAGCTTTAATAAGAATAAGGATGTTCATACCTTAAACACTAGGAACAAACATAAGCTTGTAATGCCACTTACAAGACTCCACAGAATTAGTAATTCATTTATGGGGCAATGTATACGCTTTTACAACAGAATCCCAGAACATGTTCAAAGTTTGTCAATAAAAGTTTTATTAAAGAAAAACTGTACAAAAAGGGTTATTATAATATCAAGGAATACATGAATGAAAATAACCCCTGGGAATAAGGTGATCGCCACCATGCTGGTTCTATGAAAATTCATTTAAAATTGTATAAACAAAATTATTGTTAAGTGAAATTATGTTTAAAAAGAAAGTCCCGCTGGGTTTCTTGCTGGTTCTTCCCAGGACAGAGGTATTTTCCGAACCAGTGGTAAATAAAATAATGACTTTCAATAAGTATTATGTAATAATCCATATTGAATAAAAATCATTCCATTCTATTCTATTCTATTCTAGTCAAAATATATTTATTCAAAATTAGCGTTACCAAGTTTTTTTTTGAAAGTCAAGAAAGTAACGCAATAGTTACTTACTCCTACTGCAGAAGACCATGTGAGAAGAAACAGCAAGAAATTCAAAAGTAGACTAATTTTATCCCAACAGTTACGATTTTCATTTTTTATAAAATATGTACATAAATAAAACGGTTGACGGTTTTTTTATAAATTTGAATTGTTATCAGGAGGATGCTAATGCTTATTTCCTGTGTTGGCCCCTGTACACTACTCGCAAAATTGATCGAAGTTGGGCGAAGAGAATAGTGTAGAGAGAGGTACTTCGATTCGCTTCGTGCAACCTCGCTTCGCCTCGGGCGGTTTCAAATCGCTGTCGGTGTTTTGCGCCCGAGTCAAAGGACTTCGCGAAGTGCCCCGAAGTTACACGAAGCGTCTTACTACACTACTTGGCGTACGCCAGTTATATATTAATTTTTTTATATATAAGGAGTGTCGAAGAGGGACTCTGGAAAATGCCAATGATCACGATCTCTACTTCTGTCACATGAAAAATACGTAGACGAAACAGTCGTCTAATACTGCGATGGTCACCGATTTCAGCGATTCACCTCTCAATTATGGCAAAGAAGTTCGGTAGAGTAGTAGAGTCTGTAGCGACTCTACTTGCCTCTATTGTTAAGTGTTGTAAGAATCGACAGATGGCGGAATAGGATAGTTCGATTCTGTTCTGTGAGTAGAATAGATGAGACTAAAATAACTTTTATTCGATCAAGATTATAAATAATATAATAAATAGAAAGTCAAATGACTTTACTCTTAACCAATGGTTCGGAAAATCATCCCCTTTGTTGTCCATATTCCACGCATTTAAATAAAACTTAGTCTTTCGTAAGATTAGAATAATCTTTCCGTCCGATTACAATCTGGGCGTCTTCAAGGTAAGTGTGAACAGGCTATTGTACCGCTAAGACAGTGCGATTTACCATTTAGGACTTTATCACCACTTACCACCAGGTGGGATTGTAGTCCAGCACTGTATTAAAATAAGTTAAAAAAAGTCTGAAATATCTTAAAACCGAAGGAGTAGATATCATAAGATCGGAAGGAAAATTTGGCAGAGGAAGGAAGTTATAATCTATACAAATAAATAAAATTGAAGTGTCTGTTTGTAATGTCAAAATTACAGTTTTTTACTAAATGCATATGAAAGTAAATACGATACCTATAACTAAAATACGATTTTTAAAATTTTTGTCTGTCTGTCTGTCTGTCTGTCTGTCTGTCTGTTTGTTCCGGGTAATCTCCAAAACGGCTGGACCGATTTTGACGGGACTTTCACTGGCAGATAGCTGATTTCATAAGGAGTAACATAGGCTACTTTTATTTTAGAAAAATAATTAGGGTTCCGCGCAGAAACATAAAAACCCTAACACGCGAACGAAGTCGCGGGGAACAGCTAGTATGTAAATAAAAACATTGAGCGTGGAGTAGATAATAGTGATCACGTCCCAAGTTCATACTTTACGTAGTTAACATGTAAACAAAAAATCGTTTATCAAATTGTCGACGAAGGAATGAGGCTATTGTAGTGTAAACATTCAAATTAGATCTCTTATAAAACTGCTACTTGATTCGTTGAAAACACTAAAAAAAACAGTAAAGCTTTTTATAGCTTATTACTTTTTACGTAAGTTTTTATACGTTGTAGAGCTATAGGTACTGCGTCTATATTATGGTTACAGCGAGAATTCGGTTCGACCGGGTAAGGGCCACGATCCTACAGAATATCAGCGTAAAATAGTAGCTTAATGCTGCTGTGCATCGTAGGGTGAATGTAGAACGGAGATCCTTTTTACTGGATACAAGGCATTTGATCTGAGACCTCTGGGGTGACAACGCATCTTTGCCATTTTTAGCTACATCACCACTTACCATCAGGTGACAAGTCAAGCAAGGCTTATATAAGTAAAAAAAATTGTTATGTCAACACGAAAAAAATGTCATATCGAATTTCGATCACAACGATTAGTCTCAATGGAAACTAACCATCTGCGCAGTACAGGATTACAGTGCACAAGCGTGTGCGCAAGCACAGGTGCACTCTCTATTCCTTTGCTCTCTTAGTCTAATACCGCAAACTGACACAATCGGAGACGGAGAAAGATCAGGAGCAGGGCCAACGGCTTTACGTGATTTCCGGATCACGGGGGTTAAACACTGACAAATTTCTGACTAATTATTAAGTGAAACTAATTTTTACGGATTGTATCCTGTTTAATTTAATTTTTTGATTCCCGACGTTTCGGGTGCTGTAAAACACATTCGAATTATATTTAAAAACTGAAGGTAGGCTGAATATGACATCGAGACGTCATACACCTCAGTCCCCCCCGTGACCATGGGTGCTGTAAAGCACCCGAAACGTCGGGAATTAAAACGTTAAATTAAACGTGACAAAATCCGTAAAAATTAGTTTCATTTAATGTGTAGTCTTCGCGTACATATAAGAAATCATTCTGACTAATGGTTGCTAGGTAGGATTTCTTGACAGAGAAGTGGAATAAAATTTTGGTCCAAAGCGGGATTAGAAATTGGGACCAAAATCTGCAGTAGTGCTTACAATCACTAGATCAACGTGACAGTCAAGAGTAGAGCCCTATATATGTCCTACTTATATCGTCGATGTAACGTCCTTGAGCATGTTCAAAGAAATGTATGCACCTTCAAAGGAGAAAAAAGACTGAATTTGTGTACTCGACTAGTAGAACTAGCTTAAGTTGTGTATCTACTGTTATTTTTAATTAAGCTACAATTTAAATCCAGGACTCAATTCAATTTATTGAATTGAAAAGCAAATACTTGACTTAGCGAGGAAAAGAAAATCCTTAGTGCTAGTTAAAATTTTATTACAACTTAAATTTCAGACAATCTCATCTAAGACATTAAAAGTAGAGTAACCGGAAATAAAAGCAATGACAGATATTTTAATTATTCTGTTCAAATTAATTTTTATTATATTTGATTATTTGCCGTGTATTGTCGACATAATAGAATACAATACCTCATATTATCCAGTGGATGTCGTGAAAGACGACAGAGGGAACCTTAAACAGGAGATCGGTAGTAGGACCTTCCACAACAACAACTCAGTACCTAATACTTAATAAAAAAACCGCGGTTGCCAACCCACCTGCAAAACGTGGCAACTATTTTCCCCTATTAGACAATCTATAGGGGAAGTATCTATATGTTCAACTGTGAACTTGTTAAGGGCTGTAATGAAGTGAATGTTATTGAATTCAAAAATATAACAATTGACAATATAATCGTGTCATAACTGTGTGAGGAATAGTTGAGTGAAATAACATTTTCCAATTAGGCAACTCAGATGTCAAACAAATATTTTATTAAACTATGTGGCAACACCAAACACGCTAATGGCGCAAATCGTTCGCATCCGCACACTGAAACCTATTAAGTTCTAAACTCAATAAACGTCATTGTTCCAGCGCTTAACTAGGAAAACCCGCGCGGGCCGCACGGGGCCTCTTTGGCCTCTTCAGTTCGCCGCGACCTCTAATATTCATAAGTCAATTTCCTGCCCCATTAATACGTAACGAAGTAGCGCAAATGGCCTTATCGCTTGTGCGCGATTACTTGCCCGCCGCTCTCTTACATAATTCAACGTATTAAACGAAATTGTTTAAACCTTATTGCTCGATTACGCTCCTCCACCCCGGGCACGCCTCGCTTCCCGCCGCCAATCCGATGGTCCCAACTTCGTCCCCCCCTGAGGTTTGTACCGGCCTCCTGCGTTAGTCCCGCCTGTTTTCGCGCTCCCGTTTCCAGTCGGCGTCCAGTTGTGACGATCGGAAGTTAGACGGTGGTGGACGTTGCGCTTGCGTAAACGGATTTCAGTGACGCGCCGTCGAAGGGTTAAACATTTTGTCTCTTACAATAAAAAAAAAACATGCTGTGACTTAAGCACAGACTGTAATCATACGCATTAAAACAGTAGCAGTGAAGTGTTTAGTGTCCTTTTGAAAACAAAAAACATAAACTATTAAAGAACTGAATGAACAAACCAATCCTAATGTTAACCATAAATTTGTTCAAATAGACGTTGCTATGACGATGCTTGCGATGGCGCGAGGTTCGGAGGATCGACGCGAAGAAGAGGCTGAAGCGGAAACCGAGACAAATGGGGAGGTCGACGTCGTTGGTGTCGAGGAGGCCGCTCCGGTTGACCTAACGAGGAGGCTCGGTCTAACCCGGCCTCCTGATCGCCCAGCAATAGCGTTCTCTGTTGAGAACATTCTCGATCCTAATAAATTTACTGGGCGCTCAGACGTCCCTCTAAGATATGATGACCATTATTGGAGACCGCATTACGATAGAGACGACAGTGATTCTGGTAAGTGATATATGGAAATTACTTCACTCGTTTAGTCTACGATTGCGTACAGGTCTATACAAAAGTGCGTCAACAGGCATGCATTATTTAGCAGATATTCACCATACTAAACAGACAGATTGATGAGTGCAGAGTCGAAACCCTTGCACTAGTAATACCTCAACCCATCACTTATTGTAATCTGTTGAGTTTGAGTTCAACGGTTTTATCTGTACGATTGTTACTGTACCTATGTCACATCAATAAAGGAAAGCCGACGTTTTGAGTGAAGCCTCCATAACATTAAGTAAAATTATTAAATGAAAATGGGCTGCAAATATTTGAATTTTACAAAGAAAACTTATAGAGTCCCTTCCATTATAGAGTCTCTCCCATAGATTGCCTCATAGGGAGGTTATTGGCAGGCAGGTTAACAAGCACAGTTTTGTATTAGGTACTTTGAGTTGTTACCAGAAAGATGATGCTGTTCTGATATTTTGTTTTTTTTTTTGTCGTCTATACCGACACCCACTGGATGATATTCTTGGGTAGTAGATTCTAGTGGAATGAATTCACTACCCTAAATCTAAGGAAATCTCAAAACGTACGAAAATGGTTACCAGTTTTGTAGTTTTCGGTTCCGTTGTTCCCCAGGAAACCGTGGATTTATTCTCTTAAGAACGCTGAGCTTTTATGAGAATCATTCAGCAGTTTCATACACTCTTTATTATCAATATATTTTTTATTTCTAAACCACCAAAGATTTTCTCAAGTTATTGATAACTATAGAAATAATTTTAAACATTGGGTCATCGAGCCCAACTTAATGGGTGGTATTAATTTAATTTTAGGTTAGTCAGTAGATTATTATGTCCTTTGTGGCTATCAATATTACAGTACTGTTATTATTTCTCCATTTAGGCTGCATATATAAGAGATAGAAAAAGTCAGGGAGAGAGAAAGAGTAACACTTTGAATATAAATTACGGAGGAGCATTTTATGCAGTTCCCTAGCATTTTAGATAGTCACAAAGCTTAAAATTTGACCAAAATTCTACGCGACCAACCTAATATCTTTAGACGAGATAATAAAAAATGTGTTTCACATATTCTAAGAGCGATTTTTATATTTTGATGAAGTATTGAACTTAATACAGCGAAAGAAAAATTGTTAAATGGTTTAATTGGGCCATGACTATTAGGTACATAAAAAGAAAGAAAGAACCAAATACGTTTATTTGGCACATATATTATAACAAAGAGAAAAAATTAGGTAAGACAGAGAAAAAAATTACACATGATAGATATTTTTATATTTTCTTTTCTTCGAATTTTTTGTGTCGTAGCTCGTCGGCTTCGGGCGGTCTCGGTCGGTCGTAGCCCCGTAGTAGACATGCGGCTCTTTTGTTGGATGTCGTATATTGTAGAACGTCTTTGATATTAATACATTTTGTCTATAAAACTAGAAAATATTGTGAAAAGTATTCACTACAGTAAATTAATAGCTACTTAGAATTATAAGTCTTGGTTCAATCAATGTCTATTGACCAGAAAATCTATTGTATCAGCAATGCGAATTCGCTCCAGACACATTCTGTGTAACAACTTTGCTTTCATGATGAAAAATAAAACATACAACGCAATCGAAGACATATATAACAATTGCTCGTGGAATGTTTCAAAAACCATCACGAGAGGAAACTAACATTAACAAAACTGACATTAAAATGTGTAACATAGGGGAATATCGAAGTATACTCTCTGAACCACTGTCAGATGCTGCTCAAATGGTTTATCATTTATTTAATATATTGTATAAGCAATTTAATAAATTGTTTTGTGCTATTTAGTCATAAGGTACAATGGGACTGACATGTTAATAATAACGGGTCCCTTAAATTGTATTTCTATACGTAGTAGAGTCATGCTGCAGCTATATTGTAGTATAGTCGTAGCACGAATGGGTCGGGTCGACCGGAGAAGGACCACGCTCTGACAGAATACCAGCGTAAAATAGCAGATTAACGCTGCTGTGTTTCGTATGGTGAGTGTAGAGAACCGGAGACCCTTTTTACTGGAAATGAGGAGTTCCATCTTAGTCCTCACGGGTGACAAGGCGTTTGCATTTTCATTCGTAATTAAGGATAGATGTAGATGTCTATGGTCCACAGCTACTACTTACCATCAGGTCGACTGTGTGCTCGTTTGTCACCTTATTCTATAAAAAAAGAGTAATAAAAATAAACAAGCGCTAGGATTTCTTTCCTGCCTCGCAGTCGGTAATGGCAGTTCCTGTTCTGTTCCTGCCTAAAGAATATAGAGAGTCAGTATTTTATTAACAAATTTTGTAAGGAATTTCATCTTAGTTGGCAGAGGTGACAACGCATCAGGAGCCTTGTTTTACTTCTCCTTTTCGGTCTATAAAATTACTATTAATTTTATAGACCGGTAACCGAGAACCAATTTTAAAATATGTATTATCAACACTATTGATTGACTACGTGACAACGAGCCGATAACAAGGTCGTTTAAGTTAACTGATATTTAAACAATTTTATTCTTTATTCATTTACTGTAAAGGCTGTTCAAAAGTCCCTTTAAACTCTTCTAACAGTAGTCTGGTTCGTTTTTGTGACAACCTTTGAAGTCTCAATTAAGTACGTGATGAAAAGTTAACGTTTTAACTACAATAGTGCATGCCGGAACTTGTGTCGCGCTTTTAAAACCCAATTATCGAGGTGTCTATTGATATGTTAGTTCCGACGTCATAGTCTCTTTTTTTTAATTAAAGCTATTTGCGACTTTCACTGAGAATATTTTACTAAGCTGTTGTAACTATGATATGAATTAGGCGGCTAGTTGCACGTCCTAATTTTTTTTGTACGCGATCAATCCAAGTTCAATTAACTCCGGCTCTATTGTAAATATAAGTTTAGTGAAGTAAATTTACTACTACATCCCACGACTGGGCACAAGGTAGTGGGGAGGGGGAACAGTTAGTTCGTGTACGCCCGTGGGCAGACCTCGTTTGTCTTATAAATTTTATTCCTGAGAAATGCAGGATCTTTTTTTAAATTTCAATTAACGTTTTCATCAATACCGGCGGGAATCGAATACGTTTTACTGGTGCTGTGAAATTATGGCGAGAGCTACAATATACTATTTGCTACAAATGCTGTCTATCGCTAAGTCTATGGAAAAGAAAACATCGTCAAACATAGTCATACTAGCCATAGAGCTCGAAGAAGCAACCACCGTTTGGGAAGCAAGGTTCTTGAGTGGCAGCCTCGTAGATGGAACGGTAATTCGACACGAACGAAGAGAGATCAGGCGCAGGAAAAACAGCTTTACGAGCTATCCGGGGCACGGGGGTGAGATCCTGCCAACTGCGACCAAGCAGAACTTCGGGTTGCTACTGGGATTTTTAAAAAAAAGGATAGGGTGACAAACGAGCACACAGTCCACCTGATGGTAAGTAGCTGCTGTGGCCCATAGACATCGACATCTATCCTCGTTTGCGAATCAAAATGTCACCCGTGAGGACTAAGATGGAATCCCTCTTTTCCAGCAAAAGGGGTCTCCGGTTCTCTACACTCACCATACGAAACACAGGAGTGTAAAGCTGCCATTTTACGCTGGTATTCTTACAAAAAACCCAATAAGAGATTTTTGCCCGAACCGGGATCCGAACCGGAGACCTCATATCAGCAGTCGCGTTTACGACAACTAGACCAACGAGTCAGTTAAAAAATATTACCTAATAATGTTGTTCTAGACTACAAAACACCTTTGATGTTCCTTCCTGCCGCCGCCGGTTTTAGTATTTTTGTTTTGGTAATAGGTATGTATATTGTGCGAGATAATTATTACATAATTCGGCGTATGTCTCAAGATTTTACCGATATTTTCCGACTCTGTAAGTGCTATGGCACCACTAAGGCTAGGCAAGGCCTCAGAGAGGATTAAGAAGCCATTTAGCTGTTTTGCTGCCCCAGTGCGTGTTGACGGACTAACGTTGTCATAGAAATAGTTTCTTTTATAGAATAAGGGTGATAAACCTGATGGTGGTTAAGTATATGCTATGGCTCATAGATATTTATATGTATATTCGATTAAGAATTAGAATGGGTATGCGTTGTCACCCCTGAGGACTGAGATGGAATGCTACGTTTCAGTAAAAAGAGGTCTCCGGTTCTTTACGCTCACCATACGAAACACAGCAGCATTGAGCTGTTATTTGGCGCTGGTAGGTATACTGTGAGCGCATGGTCTTTCCTCGGTCGAGCCGACCCATTTGCGCTCCAAACATTTACAAATTTTGTACCACAATGAAAGCATCCACGACTTTTTCTGCCACCAGGGCGGCGTCATTAGATAGTGAGGTATAATATTTGACAGATTTCATAGTGAGGAAGTTAATTTCTTCGGAAAATATAAAGGTTATTGTTTCTTTCTGTACTATTAGCTATATTTCATATTAATAAGATTAAAAATAAATAAACCAAACCACAGATATTCATAAAAGTAGAAAAATTAGAAAAAAAGTTAAAAATATGCAAAAAATTAAAGAGCAAACCACTGACGCATTGTTTTGTGTATTAATATAATACCTACTCTAGAAACTGATGAACTTTTATTAAAAACCAACTTCTCAATTAAATTACATTGTGTAACAAAAAACTTCACCTCACTGTCAACTAGCGACATCTGGTGAGCAGAAAATTATTAGCCCTCATTATAGTAGGCTGTAGCGTGGCTCTACCACGTAAAGTCATTTCTCAGACAGGTTTCCTCGTGACGTTTTTCTACTTATGCTGTTATTAATTATTATATTTAAAATTAAAATAAACTTTACCTCTAATTATATAAAATTAGTCGTAATAAATTAGGGCGTCTAAGCTCTTGCCGTAAATTTCTAAGTATCCGAGGAACTCGGGTTCGATCCCGTCGGCACCAATTAAATTGTTCATTGTCACCACGTATTCGGCGGTTAAGGAAAACATCGTGAGGAAATCTGCATG